TTTAGATGTATTGGGCGTGGAATTGTCCTAATCAAAAGGAAGATGGAGAGGATCCGATAGCTACGGTAGTTGTTGTGGAGTGGAGAAGTTACGATCTCAGTCGGAGGAGGGCGAAGTGAGAAGCCAGAGCGCTCTCGCACTTGAACCCTCTTAGTTTTGATGTTTTGATTTTTGCATTCATCCTAGGAGGAGTTGACGAGATCGGCGATGTCACAGAACTGTCGGAGAGGGTTCTTGACTAGCTAACAGTTCTCTGCCACCGCATCAAGAGGTAAGTAAAGGAGATTATGGAGAGTAGATGGGGGAAATAATTCCTTTGGGGAGATGTCTTGTTTGGCATTTAGGAGAACCGCGAGCCAAGGGAATTTCGGTCAATTAAAAGAAATTAGGTTTTTAATTTATTCTTTAATGAATGTGCAACGAGGTGGAAATTTTATAGATTAAATTTCTATATTTTATTATTTTTTTAATAGCCATGTCACTCATTTAACGATCTACTATGAAGGTTGTCTGCTACGTCAGCGAAAATGAACGTAGACTAACAGAGAGTGACCAAACTTGAACTATTGAACTAATTTTAGTGACCACGAATGAAATTAAATATTTGTAGTGACCAAATGTAAATGTTTTTAGTAAACCTAGTGGCGAACCTTACAATTAACCCATTATTTTTTAATATTTGTCTAACAATGCGCTCAAGCACACCTCACTTTGATTAATCAGACCCCACTAGTGATGTCAATTTGAACCCGTCCCGCCAGGTATTACTCGACCTGACCCTCGATGAGGTGGGGCATGGGTATCTACTTCCAGCTCGCCCTGCCCTACCCTATCCTGCCCGCCCCTTTCTTGAGCCATTATATCTCAATTTCTTATAGTATTTATTCTTATTTCTCATATTTTGACATTTTTTAAACTAGTTAGATTAGATCTTTCAACTATTTAGATTGAATTACGCATTTTATTATCACTATTTTCCATTCATAAAGTGTTTTCCCTTCGCCATATAGTAAAAAGCAAAATTTTGCGTGTATTTTTTTCAAATAACATATAAGAGTGGGTCGACCCTGCCCACACCGTATTCGAGCGAGTATTACCCGCTCCGACCTGCAGTAGCGTGGAGCAGAGCATGGGTATTGAGGGCCCCGCCCCCGCCATCACTAGACCCCATGTCGATTAATCGTGTCTAATTTCGTTAGGCGTAGGATGACAACAAAACCCGAACCCACGGGTACCCTACCGGACCCAACCTAGTTAACTCTAGTAAAACCCGCATTAACGAGCTTCTGGCCGGTTTTGGGTTTAAACCCGTACACTGTTCACCGAGTTCGGTTTGGGTTTAGGGATACCCGCCCACACTTATTTCGTTGCCTTACTCTCCCCAAATCCTACCCTAATTCTAATTTTCCTCAATCTAACTCTCACTACGCTTATTCCGTGTGCTTTTATTTAGTGTAATTGTGATTTATTTGAATTTTCTAGACTGATGTTTTATGTATAGATAATTTGTATGAGAAAATTGATGTTTGAATTTTATTTTTATCGGAACTTGTTATTGTAAATTTTTTATCACAAAAACTCATGGGTGCCCATGAACCCGCGAATACCCAGTAAGTTGGGTTGAGTTTGAGTTTTCTAAACCCAATGAGTTTTACCCCAATTTTTTTTTACAAATAAACCCATAGATTTGGAGTTTGGGTTTGACAAAACTCAACCTAACCCGACCCAGTCAAACCCAACTCGAAAAAGAACGTGCCCCAAATTCGAACCAATCCGAGTCCGGGGCCCCGACCCGACCTTCCCACTCGCGCAGATCTGTAACTCCTCCGCTTTCTCTCTATTCAACATGTTGTCTTCGTTTTCGCTTTCTTCTGCAATTTGACTTCCGCTTACAGATAAGCCTCTCTCAACAAATCGTGATCTCGCCTTCGGGAGACCGACCCGCTTTTTGCCATTAAGTATCGCCGTCTGAGCCATGGGAGTGCCGGCGTTCTACAGGTGGCTCGCGGACCGCTACCCGCTTGCAATTGCCGATGTCGTGGAGGAGGAGCCGCAGGCGGACGCGAGTGGCATCCCTAGGCATGTTGACGTCTCCAGACCTAACCCTAACGGCATGGAGTTCGACAATCTGTACTTGGACATGAATGGAATCATTCACCCTTGCTTCCATCCCGAAGGCAGGGTATGCTTTTCGTTTCCCCTTCTTTCCCCCTGAATGTAGGGCTTGCAAAATTACTAGTAGACCATGTGCCCCCCTGGATTTTCGATTCCTGTCCGGAATGAGAATTGGTGGAGTGTTGCATATAGCTTTTCTCTGTGAAGTTCGGGATGGTTAAGCTGGTTTTAGCTGCTGAGTTTGTGGAGAAGGTGTCTTGTTAGCGTGTTCTTTGTGAGGTTGAGGTGTGATTGTGAGTGGAGTTAAACATTGGCGGGGGGATAAAGAGTAATATGCTCTATAAGGAATGTTTTTGTTTATTTTTTCAGTGACAGATTGCACCAGAGCTGTATCAGAGTGATAATACAATGGGAATGAGTTCATTTCCAATCAGCATGAATTGATGAGTTGGTATATGTCTAGTTGCAAGAGAAGAAGATTCTGAAGTGAGGAATGCATGTTCTACGCTTGTCTGAAGTTTTTGGTGTTTAGCCTTCAGATCCTATAAGTAATGATTTTGGGTCGGGTTATTAAGGAAAAGATATCGAGAGAGGAGTTGGGGGCTGGGGTCTGTGAGTATAAATGTCATTGCTACAAGGCTGTCAACTTTAGCTGTCATAAGAATTGAAATGGGTGCAAATGCTAGTTGTTCTTGTTTGCTGTGATAGTTTGATTGCTCCTTTATTCTGAAGGGCATTGACTTGGAGATTCTGTGTTGACTTCCTTTACTGTAATTGCAGTTTTCTTGCTTTGAAAGAATTCTATTAGATGGTGTATCCTAATACTATATAACAATGCTTTCTCTCACAGCCAGCACCGGCTACATACGATGATGTGTTCCGGTCAATATTTGATTACATTGACCATATAGTTTCATTGGTTCGCCCGAGGAAGATTCTCTATATGGCAATAGGTAACTGTCACATCACCTTTCTGTTTATTGCTAGTTAGGGCTGTATTAGTTGATTCCATTCTGGATTTGATAGATGGGGTTGCTCCAAGAGCTAAAATGAACCAACAGCGATCTCGTCGCTTTAGAGCTGCCAAAGATGCTGCTGAAGCTTCAGCTGAAGAAGAAAGGTTGAGGACAGAATTTGAGGCACAGGGGAGACTCTTGCCTCCTAAAGAAAAACCCCAAACATCAGACTCCAATGTCATCACTCCGGGCACTCCGTTCATGGCAGTACTATCGATTGCACTTCAGTACTATATACAATCTAGGCTGAACCATAATCCTGGGTGGCGGTATATGAAGGTGTGATTGTTCTTCCTTTGCCTTGGTCCATTTGAGATCGGATCATTCCTTCAGTGTCGAGTATTACCTTCATATCTTTTATTTTTCATCACATTTGGTTTCCAAGATATTCTTTTCTGTTTGGACCTATTGATTGAGCTGCACTGGTTGGCTCTTTGAAGGTTCTTCTTTCGGATGCAAATGTTCCTGGTGAAGGAGAGCACAAAATCATGTCATATATTAGATCACAGCGTCACCTTCCTGGCTTTAACCCAAACACACGGCATTGTCTGTATGGCTTGGTAAGTTTCGTACTCAATATTTGTTCCTTAGACCTTGTAGTTCCATTAATTGATTGATATATGTGTTGACCACAACTTTGTTTCATTTCTATCAGGACGCGGATTTGATCATGCTTTCTTTAGCTACACATGAGATTCATTTTTCAATACTAAGAGAGGTTCAATCTCTTGAAATATTTGCATACATTGTATATTTTCCATGCCCTTAGCTTGTCTAACTTTTTGGCATTGATGGTGCAGATGGTAACATTTTCTGGACAGCAGGATAAATGTTTTCAATGTGGTCAAGCTGGTCATCTTGCTGCTGAATGTCGCAGTAAAGCTGGAGGTGATCCTCTAGACTGGAATGTGGAAAATGATATTCCAATCCACAAGAAAAAGTATCAGGTTGGAGAAGGATACTGTGCAGGGCAAAACCATTTTTCAGTTATTATGCTTCTTTTGATGTTTCTAACTTGAGTAATTGTTGCAACAGTTCCTCAATATCTGGATCTTACGGGAATATTTGGAATATGATTTGGAAATTCCAAATCCTCCATTTACAATCAACTTTGAGCGCATTGTGGACGATTTTGTATTCCTGTGTTTCTTTGTTGGCAATGACTTCCTTCCACACATGCCAACTTTAGAAATTAGGGAGGTATGTTATGATGTTAAAACATCAAATCTTTTGTTCTGCTTGTCTTTCCCGATTCATGTTTCCAAATATACTTGTGCCATGATCATGAATAGTGTGGGAAGTGGTTTCCTTAGTCTTATCCCAGCTCATGATTTCGATACCTTTGTGATGCTTCTTGATGATATTCGTTTGGGCTATTCTCTTGATCCTATATGTAATGCGTCCTTGCATTTTTTCTACTTTATGCATCTTTCAATCAACCCCAAAGAAAAAAGAAAAAAGAAAAAAAAGCACACAATCATGCTTGCTAAAAGCTCCTATTTTTTCAGGGTGCTATAACTTTGCTTATGCATGTTTACCGAAGGGAATTCTCTGCAATGGGTGGTTATCTTACTGATGCGGGTGAGGTAATTTCCAGTTTTATATAATGTAGAGTACATATATGTTGATGTCTGGATGCAAATTAATGCCCTCATTTAGTCATTTGAATGCATGTGAATTATTCTGCATTGCATACCGATGTTTCTGTAACTGGATATCTAGTTTCTCCCAACTTCATTGATGGTATTAGTGTGAGGAAGTCATTACAAGTTGTAGAGGCTAATGTATGAGCTATTCAAATGAACTAGAAGTCTTAAAGATACATGTCCAGTGATCCGATTGTATAAACGACCTGTCAATTTTTCTTACTCTATCTATATGATGGGTAAGTGAGTAACTTATTGGAAAATGGAGTGAGAGTAGAAAAGTCTTGTCTCATAAAAGTCAATCAGGTCAGGGGATGAATATTCTCTCTTCAATTCCAGGTCGACAAGTACAACCTATCTTACATTTAGGCTCCAGTTGTATGTTATCTGTGGCCGTCCTAGAGCTCGTGGGAGTTATGTATGATGCTAAACTGGCTTGTTCCTTTTATTCAATATTCTACTTAAATAGTGGACAAATTAGAGTGAAATCTCTTCACTTCTTTCTCTAGTCATATGTTTATTTATGTTATGCCTACATATTGCTATTGTTTCTCGTGATAAATTTGTGTCACAAGATCTGTTAGATCCTTAGGGTTAATGACGTAAGTTGGTCAGCTCAAGCCATCATTCTACATGTTCAGGTTTTTCTGGATCGAGTTCAGCATTTTATCCAGTCCGTTGCTGTTCATGAAGAACAGATTTTCCAGAAGAGGACTCGAATACAGCAGGTAGCTTTCCTTCACCATGCTGAACTTTCTTTTATTAGATACTGTACCATGAAATGAACCAGATCTTTGTATGAAATGACTAGATTTTGCTTACCACCTTTCCAAACCTAAATTTGGGAAAACAAAAATGAGAGGGAAATGGAAAGATAAATTTTTTATCCAGGTCCTTTAATAATTGGTTTCCAACTTGTTTCAGGCTATAGAGAATAACGAGGAAATGAGGTACAGAGCAAAAAGGGAACAACCTCCGACTCCAGCATCTGTGACAGACAAGGTTAACTATTATATCTTTGACTCGAATCTTCATTATTAAAATTAGATCTTGAATAACTTGTTTCTGCTATACGATAGAGGTATTGAAGAACAGTTAGCAACCTGCAAATAGACAGAGGCCTTTCAGATGAGTAGGTGATGCAGGAGTTTCTTGTCTAGTGTCTGCACATGACGTCATTGCGAAATTCGTATATGGATCACATCTTGTAGTACATCCAATACATTTTATTGAGTTCTGCATTTCTTTTTGAAGGTTAGATGAAATAATGGTTACGAGCTTATGCTTCACTTGATACTAAAACTGCTTTGAGAATGCTTTTTAAGCAGCTTCTTTATTTTTAGCTACACGAGCTGAAGGGAATTGTAAGGTTTGGATTATAAGATCAATTCTGCCCTAGTATTTGTAAGATATTTTTTAAATGCTTTCAGCTCCAGTGTAAAAGGTTTTGTGGTTCAGATTTTTACTTATCATATCTTGATACGAAATGACCAGACTTCAAAAGACTGATTGTGATTTCTAAGGGTTTTGAACTTCAAGTTGTGGCGCCAAACCTATTGGACTTGATCACTGACTGGCCTGGCATATCTCTTCCTCCATCCCATCTATTGACGGCCCCCTATTTCTTAAGAAAGAATTATAGATTAGCCTTAGACACATCACAGTCACAGGCGGTTGCTTGTGTTTCTTGTCTTCCATGAAAACTTATGTAGCAACTGATATTCCTGCATTACCTACTGGCTACCGCTTTCTTCATTTTAACCTTCTTTATTTGTGACTGAGAGTTTTAAGGGATTTCAAAAGACTGATTGTGATTTCCAATACGAAATTACCAGACTTCAAAAGACTGATTGTGATTTCTAAGGGTTTTGAACTTCAAGTTGTGGCGCCAAACCTATTGGACTTGATCACTGACTGACCGGGCATATCTCTTCCTCCATCCCATCTATTGAAGCCTTAGACACATCACAGTCACAGGCAGTTGCTTGTGTTTCTTGTCTTCCATGACAACATATGTAGCAACTGATATTCCTGCATTACCTACTGGCTACCACTTCCTTCATTTTAACCTTCTTTATTGTGACTGACAGTTTTGAGGGATTTCATTGCCAGCTCAGGTTTTCGTATGTGTCATCCAATTGCAGTCCTGTTGCTTGTTTTCAAACTTCACAATATTGCTCTTGGATGGCTCTTTGTTTTTCCTATGTGTATGGTTCAGTTTATTTTCAACTGCTGTGGAGGCATTGGGTCTTTTTTCGTGCGATTGAATGGATGCTTCACTCCACCTAAAGCCACTTGAAGTTACATTGGCTTGAACTTGTCTGTCGCTGGACTCATTTAGTGCTTGTAGAAATATGCTAACATTTATTTCTGTCAGGTTAAACTTGGGGAGGTTGGATACAAAGAAAGATATTATGCTGAAAAATTTGATGCATCAACTCCGGAGGAGCTAGACAAAGTGAGAAAAGATTTAGTAAGTTCCTTTCCAAATTTGATCCTTCGAACCTTTGACTTTTATTTGATGACTCAATATCCTTGCAGTATCTGCTATATTTGTCTATGCGACTGTGGATTGAGATACTGTAATTTGCATTCTGGACTCCCAAGTCTTTTCTTATCCTTCTATTGGTTCTTCTTTACTGAATATTTGTTACAATCTTTGATTTGTGTGCTTGGCAGGTTCTAAAATATGTTGAAGGGTTATGTTGGGTATGCCGGTACTACTACCAAGGTGTTTGCTCGTGGCAATGGTCAGTTATTGCGACCGAAGTAAACTGCTATATGCTTCTTATAATGGTTAAACCAACCGGGGTCTCTATCTGATGCACGCACAAGTGTTGCGCTTGTTAAGTCCAAAATAATTTGAAGATAGAAAAACCAAAATACCTTGATGAGTTTTCCATGTGTATGGCTACCAGAAGATAGGTCTTCATGAACCATAGGGTTTCTTCTAGGGCACCATCCTTGTAGCAGCTTACTCGCTCTTTGACTGTGCTTTAAGTGTATGCTTTTCGTTTTTGCCAGCTTAAGCAACACTTCGGTTTACAAGATGCATAACTATCTGGTTGTTATGGCAGGTTTTATCCGTACCATTATGCTCCATTTGCCTCAGACCTTACAGATCTTACCGAGTTGGAGATAACTTTCTTTTTAGGCGAGCCATTTAGGCCCTTTGATCAGCTCATGGGGACCCTGCCAGCTGCAAGGTTTTTCTCCTTCTCCTGGAGTTAAATGGTCTTCTTTTGTGCTTTCTTTCCATAGCTGATGCTGGCCATGTGGTTTGCTGCAGTTCTAATGCTTTACCCAAAGAGTACAGAAAACTGATGACAGACCCCTCATCACCATTACAAACATTCTTCCCTTCTGGTAATTTTAACTCGATGGACAACCATGTCTGTTTTTATCATTCTAGCCATGTTCCTAGTAGTGCCAACTCTGTTTTTTTCTTCATGTGGACAGATTTCGATATTGATATGAATGGTAAACGCTTTGCCTGGCAGGTGAATTATCTTCAATTATATAGCCGACATTCGAAATTTGTCAGTGATTGGGAGTTAAGCTTATCTTTATACTTTCTGGTCTTTTACAGGGTGTTGCTAAATTGCCATTCATCGACGAGAGGAAATTATTATCACAAACAAAGAAGCTTGAGACTACACTAACGGTTTGCACTCCCCTCTCTCCCTCAAAACTCTTTTCATTGATAGAAGTATTTAAAGTACCTAGTGGAGTATGAATGCATATTACTCTTTGCTTAGCATCACATCACTGATGTTTGTTGAACATAGGATTCCGCGGAGTACATGTGGAACTATGAATGGCAGCATGTTAGTAGTTGAATAAGACTTTGATATCTATCATATATAAAGACTTCTGGAAATATTTGCACTGACCTGAGTCGGTTGTGTGATGACCATGAATTTTCTAAAGCTGCCTTCTTAGGTTTTAGCTGTTTTTGGGTCTTTGTTGTATCTAAGACCTTAGGAGCTAAAAGTTACAGTTTAGGAGAAAGAGTGCAAGTAGGATGTAGCACGGTATTCTGAAAGTGGAGTGGATGGGATTAGATTTATTTAGTGTATATCCTAACTTTGCACGTAATTTCTTTGAGACGGCAAGCTGGCTTTTTTCCTCGTTAATGAGTGTAGTTTTTTGTTGGTTAATTAAGATGAAACAAATGTAACCTTCGTTTTCTGAACCATCCCTGATGGTCTCTGGTTTAATATATGATGCTCTCTGCAATAGCAAGTCATCACTGTCTTAACAGAGAGTGATAAGTAATGTATTTGACATGCGCAGGAGGAGGAGCGTGCTCGCAACAGTGTGATGCTTGATTTGCTATATGTCCATCCTGTTCATCCTGTAGCTCAGCAAATTGTCACGTACTACCATCATAACTATCCATTACCACCTTATGCAAGATTTCTTTGGCCAATCGACCCAAATGCTAGGTTTGTTTGTGATATTGGTTGATTTTGTAATATTTCATTGCCTTCCTAAATGATGTGCTCGCTGTAACTAAGTATTGTATTTTGCAGCAGTGGGATGAATGGGTATATCGGCTTGAGTGATAGGAATGTGCACAGAACCTTGGTTCCATCCCCTGTTATTGGATTGCCACATATAGAGTATAACCAAGTTTTGTAAGTTTACCTTCCTGGTTTTCCTATAGGAAACTACTATATCTCTTCTATATCTTTCTTACTGTAGCTTCTTTGCAGAAATATCACATATCTTTCTCCTGTTAGCCATAGACACATCCCAGAACCTCCAAATGGTGTAAAATTTCCTGCAAAGGTTTGTAAGATCTTGATACTTGTAATTGCTATTTTGTCTGTCTTTAGGAGAAGGATGTATGCGTCTATCTTTCCTGAATACTGATTGCATAGAAAGTCTGGAACTTTTATTTGAACGTCCACCCTCATTTCTCTCATTAGGGTTTGACCTTTGGTGACTCGGGGCGTTTATAATGTGTTCTAACTTCAACTTGATTGGAAATACTCCTTGTGCTCTCGAACAAGTTTTTTCTATTAGTTTATTTTCACTGTACGATTCTCTGTTTGAATATGGGGAATAGGTCATGGAATTAAAAATGGAGCTGGATTTCCTTGGCGTAGCTATTGTTTGATTTGGACTCCCCTTAGGATGTCTTGTCACTGTATCTGTATGGTGTGCTTTGCTAATCGTTTCGCTCCAAATTTGTTTTATATAACTGCAGATTGTGAAGGGATATGATATCAAACCATTTCCCATACTATGGCACGAAGACAACAGTGGACGGCGTCAACAATGCAGAGAGAGGTAACGGATCTTGGAATGCATACCCAAATACTCCAGTAGATCAAATAACAAAACTTCTTAATCGAATACATCATTTCAACTTCTAAATTGTACCTTTAAATTGTACATCATTTCCCACTTTACTTCATTATTAAAATTTCTAATTTTGTCCATTTCTTTTTCAGTAAAACTTCATAAATTGTTGGGTTATTGACTTACTGTAGTCATTAGCTAAAAGCAATGCTTAATTTTTTATGAGCAGGCGTCAATTACCTGGGGCGATTGTCGGTCCACAATTGGGAGAAGCAGCTCATCGTCTTGTTAAAAACACTCTTAACATCAGGTCAAACAATGGAGGGTTGTTTGATCAGCCTCTATATACTAACAGTGCTGGTAACAATCATATCTCCAACAGAAGCAGAATGCCTGCTCCTCGTTATGGTAGAGGCGGCTATGGTGATGATCGAAACTACGGTTACGGACACTACAACAGCAACAATAACTACCAACAGGGCGGGCCTCGATATCCTTTCCCAATGAATGGTGTCCAAGGACCTCGGCACAACTTTAGGCCGCCAGAGAGGGTACTACAGAGCCACGAAAAACCCAGTGACTTGAGGATGGGAATGTCCGCTCTGACACTAGATGAAGGAAACAGCCGAGTTGGGCCACCTCCAGTGTTGTTACAGCGGAGGCCGAATTCGGGATTTACACAGAATTTGAACCACCAGTTCGAGCAGGCCACCACAGGTCCCATCCCTTCACCGCCTACCAAGTGGATCAATAGCATACCAGATGGAGAGGCGGACACTTATTTCAGATAAGAACAGCCACGAGAAGGGTGAATGAGAAGCAGCAGGTGAAACCTGTTTATCTGATCAAGACAGGCAGCTCCAGAAGCTTCAAACGCTGTAGCTGAACCAAACCACCAGTAGCATTGCAGAGCGGGACTTGTAACTTATAAAACATGTTCTCTCTCAGTCCAAGGTGTTGTAACATCTCCACCAAAGTCGGCCGTTAGATGTTTGGGCCAAGGTTCTAATTTATGAAAGTGGCTTACTTAATAGATGTCGCAGCTTTTAGGGAAAAAGTGTATACAAGTAGAGTTGTTGTGATGCTGGGGTTATTTATTAGGTCTCGTTATGGGTTGAAAATCTCGGTTCTTCCTTATGGAGTTCTATACAGGGGAAGAGTCAGTTAGTTGGGCAGGTTTCAGGGTTAGTTGTAATTATCTTCTTTGTATCCTTGTCATTGGTGTTATATCATTTGTTGCAATTCCTCTGTTTTAGTTATCCAAAGACTGAAACAATTTCTATCAAGACCATCATTTCCATTTCAAAAAGAAAAAAGAAAATTAATTTTTGGGTAACTTCTGAGCTGTATGACTGTTGTAAATGTGATAAGTTCAGCAGGTGGAAGCCAAGGTTGTTAAAACCTGGAAAGAGGGGACGACCTCTGACTCTGATGCTGCACAAGGGAGGTAACAGAAATAAACTCAAGCTCTTGCTATTCTTGGGTATGTATCATGCTGGAGCGAGGGTAGTAGAATGTGACCTGATAATGTTACAAAGTTATGACTTATGATGACAGGTCTGGTCTAGTCGGTATGCGAGGGAATGAGTTATGACTAGTCAGAATGGAGTTTGATCCTGGTTCTTTGTCCGGTGAATCCGCCCTTAAACATTCACTGCAATAGATTGTTTTTCAGCAGACTCCAAGTAGTCGGTATATCAATATGTTGGTATTGTTTCCAATGTCATCGTACATTGTGGAGCCAAAATGATGATGGATATTTTGCTCGTCAGGAATTGTTGTGAAAGACTAAACCATTCTCATTAGGGCGGTGTTGGTATGGTGGTGTTTGTTGCCGATGTTATCATACAACTTGTGAGTGGAAACGATGATGGTTTGTTTTGCTCGACAGAAATGTTGCAGAGGGCTAAACCATAAGAGACTATCAAGCTCGCTTTTGGCAAGAAAATGCAAGATGTTGGCTAACAGGGTTAATGATATCGAGGCCCCTTGGTCCTGACAGCTGCTCCGCGTGTGGTTCGACTTGATTGTGAAGGTCATCCAATCATCGTCCGAAGGGATTTTCTATGAGATTCACGTCGAGGAGATTCAACTCTAGCGCTGAATTGATTGGCATTCTGGTATATTCTCTATGTCCTCCCATTTCCATTGCTAAATCAGAAAAATGAAGCTAGCTAGAAGAATCCTGCGATAGTAGTACACCAAACCGTGTATTCTATACAATGCTCAATGAAAGGCGGACACATATATGGTATAATAATAGAAGCAAACAGGCAGTTGCCATGATGATTAAGAAGCCCAAAAACGAACAGTTGAGATGCCGCCATTAATACATAGCACTATCATTGCAGGAAGTAGCCGCCCAAGAAGAGAGCAAAGAAGAGCAGCAAACTCCCGTATATCAAAATGGCCTTCTGCCCAGAAGTGAGCGCGTTCCCTCCCAGCCCATACTGCTGGTTCTCGGCAAACCCGGCGATCTCCACGCTCTTGCTCTGGAAGAAGCTCCGGGCAGCTCCGCAGGTCGGGCACCTCCAGTCCGGCGGGAGCTGCTCGAACGGCAAGCCCGGTGGAACCGGGTACGACGGGTCGCCGACCGCCTCGTCGAACTTGTACCCGCACGACCTGCACTCGTAGATCCCCGTGTTCAGCACTGCAAACTTCTCCTCCAGCCTCCGCTGGTCGAAATCGAATTGCTGCCCGGCCTCCGTTTCTGATGATAGCTCGGCCACTGGTTCGCTGGCCTGGGAGGCGGGTTCAGAGGTCGGCGGCTTGTCTTCCTTGGAGACATAAATGGAGGAGATGGCGAAATGGGAAGGCTTGTGGAGGGAAATGGACGGTGGTCTTAGTTTGGGGAAATGGCATTTGGTTGTGGGTTTTGAGTGGGAACGTGATGTCGTGAGGTGGAAGGTGAAGGTGGGTCTTGTGGCCGCGGACGCCATGGAATGGGGACCTGGAGAAATTGGAGTTATATGTTGCTCCTTTCAATGGAGGTTTTTGCCTGTGCTGCCGGGGGTGAGGATGGTGGTGAGCTTCTGGGTGGTGGAGAATTGAAGAGGATCCATTGTAGAGGTCAGAGGAGCATATGCTGTTTGTTTGGGGGAGGGAGGTGGATAAGGTGGGGAACAACTTTCTTTCCAAAGGGTTAGAGCATAGTGATGGGCTCGTTGGTCTGGGCTTCTTGCTTATAGTAAACCCCCTAAGGGAAAGAAAGATACGGCCCGCGTTTGGTGTAATGGGGTCCTTGGGCCGGCTGGATCCAACAAGAAACTAAAAACTAGAAACTGGTGAACTTCATTGCTAATGCTAGGGGAGGCAACAAGAACAATTCTTATAGCATTACCTATAATCCGAGCTGACACAATCATCCCAGCTATGCATGGTATTCACAAACCAATCCAATGCCACTCGATTTTCAAGGAGCAAAGAGGAACTATCAACCAAGACATCATTTCATTCAAATTAGGAAAGAATTTCAAGGCTTGATTGCTTGAACTTTCAACAACAAAAATTTTAACCACAAGTTGGACAAGGGTACCAACAACAACAACTCGATAAGGTTTCAAAACTTAAAAGACCCAGTCACCACTTTTGTGAGTACAAGTTCTCAGAAGTTTAAGAAGATTGAGCAATTCATGGAAGTTGCAACAAACATGTTTACTTCGGTTGAGGCAGGTTTTAGAAGTCATCAAGCGAGCCTTCAAAACATGGAGACTCAAATCCACAATCTTGTCGGGATCCTCACTGAGAGACCTAAAGGAGCCTTACCTTTCCAAACCATTGCCAACCTTAAGGATCAAAGTGGCAGGGTGAACGCTATTGTACTAAGGAGCGGGAAGGTAACTCAATAGGTTGCGACTAAAGAAGTACATTAAGAAGAGGAATCCCCTCCAAAGGTTAATGAACAAGAACCTTCGAAAAGAGAGGGTGAAGAGGCTAAGAAAGCACCGTCGACGCCACCTCTTGTGGCTGAGTACAAACACCCACTCCCTTTCCTTACAAGAGTGCACAAAGGCCATTTAGAGCCTGAGTGTGGCAAGTTAATGGAGATTCTCAAGAAGCTCAATATAACGATCCCTTCTTGGAAGCAATGAAGTATATTCCAAGGTATGCGAAGTTTCTCAAGGGGCTTCTTGCAAACAAGTGGAAATTTGAAGACCTCGCCTAAGTCACTTTGGGCGAGGAGTCGGCCATCATCCAAGTTCTGGTCCTTAAGCCTTAGAGCTTAAGGAGTTTCTTAAGTGAATGATAGCCATTAGATTAATCTAAATTAGTTATAGAACAGTTTATGGTTATTTAGCAGGTAGTAGTTAATGAGGGTAATTGAGGTATTTTAATTAGGTTTTAATTATTTTCCTGCCAATTGCTACGTGTTGCCTCTGGTGTGAATATCTTCTATTTTATGTTAGATTTTTTTTATTTCTATTTAAACCAAGCCCCCCGAGCGGCCGAGCGAGCAATCATCCCGTCGTCGACCTTTCTTGTTTCTTTGTCGTTGCACTAACAGCGGCAGTTTCCTCTCCCCTTCGAGTTGTTCCGATGCTTCTTCAGCATTTTCCATTCTCTTCCCGGCGTCGACCAATATTAGTTTTTCCGTAAGCAGCTTTCGGCGTCGGATGTTTTTTCTTGCTAATCTCCAGCGTCCCTGTGTTGACTACGTTGTTTTCTCATGAGCTGAAGAAGCGACTTCCATAATCAAGAATAAAAAAAAAAAAAAAACTTGAAAGTGAACAGAATAGAGACGTCGGGCAACTAGGATGGACAACAACCCATGCAAATTATTAACTTTTTCCAATTATTAACATTTTTCAAACCATTATAAACTTTTCAGATCCATATTATTAACATTTTTAACATAATTATTTTTAACATTTTCAAATGATTAACATTTGTCAAATCGTTATTATAATTTAATCTCGATTATTAACATTTTCTATTATTAACCTTTCAAATCAACATTTGTCAAATCGTTATTATAATTTTAATCCCGATTATCAACATTTTCTACATAAATTTTCATTATCATCGTTTCAAATCATTAACGTTTTCCAAATCATTATTATTGTTTTATGCAGATTATTAATGTTTCAAATCATTAACTTTTTCCAAATCGTTATTAATTTTTTATACATATTATTAACATTTTCTACATAACTATTAACAGTATTCACATTTCAAATTATTAACATTTTCTAAATCATTTTCAAATAATTTATGCATATTATTAACCCTTTCTAAATAACTATTAACGTTTTCAAGTTTTCAAATTATTAATATTTTCTGAAACATTATTCAATTATTTACCTAGATTATTAACCTTTTTCTATAACTATTAACGTCATGGACAACAATATATACTAATAAAAACCAGATTTCACAACACACAGGTTCCATGTTCACAAGCTGAGGGCCGACTGAAAATAAAGATGCACAACCCGAAGGATTCCAAGTCAGCGAGATACTCCAGTATCTTCTTGCTTCGACCAAGGTTAAATTGGGGGAGCGAAACCAAAAAGAATGGGGCTGAAAGTGTGCAGCGGCGTCTAGTAGGAGCGATGTACGAAGCTGATCAACAAAAATGGGTACATGGTTAACGTGTGTGTTTCTCTTGATTATTTGTCACATGAAGTAGCATTATCAAAAAGTTGTAACATTATTAACAAGTTGGTTATGATTTGTAATGTTTATGTTCCGTAATGTTAACCATTATGATCATATTATTAACATAAAAAATATTGGTGTCTTTCACTAATAGGATGTGGGTCGAATATTGTTAATCGTTTGTAATTTGATTAGTAACATAACAGCTGTCTTTATTAACAACCTGTGTTGTTCATTATTAGCATGAGGCCTGCGTCATCGGTAATCGAATTTAATGGATTGTTAACATTTCACAACATAGTTAGTAATGTTTTCATTATTTAGGGTTTTTTTTCGGTAATTTATTTAGGATTTTTCTCCACGAAGAAATAGGCGGATGTTGGAGAATGGGAAGGGGCAAATTTTTAGGAAATTGGCAAATGTTTTCTATTATTTGAAAAAATAAATATATCCTTATTAATAACATTAAATGATTAAGCAAACTACCTCATTTTCCCTTTTAATTAGTTACCTTCCTCCTTTCTCTCTCCTCTCCCTATTGGCCATCCAAAGCTTAAGGAACTTCTTAAGTTTGGGGCTTAAGGATGTGATCCAACCCGAAACAAGTTGCACAAAAAGACACAAGATCGAGTTAGCTTCATTATCCCCTTTGCATTGGAACATGTTATATAGAGAAATCCTTAGCGGATTTAGGAGAAAGTATTAATGTCATGCCATATAAGTTTTTGAAGAAACTAGACAAGTGCAGATGGTATAACAACACCAGAATTGTTGTTATAGTAACAACAGGGGAAAAGGGTAGTTTGACAAAATATCACAAAATTGTATTAAAATCCAAAAAGCAACGAATTAAACTTTGCTCCCCCACTCTCTGCCGATTATAGCTCCGATGGCCGCACATCCTCGGCCCTCCATGACTGCCTCTCCAACTTTTGGATTTGGATTTTAGATCTGGTGGTCAGGTCAGGGAATTGAAGAAGATTTTGCCGGGACCTCAGCGGGAAGGTGGTTCCGGATTTCATAATGGCGGCGTGCGAGATTTTTGGGAGTGTTTCTCCGTGAAAGTGAAGTTTCGACTGGAGATTTCTCATTCCTTCACTCTTTTACCCGGTTGTGATCGCGGTGGATCTGCTTGGATGATCGGGGACGACGAAAGGGTGAATTTGGTTTGGTTTTGGATGGGAGTTACGAGAAGGTTTTGGTTGGGAATGATTTCCATAGAGTTGAGCGGCGTTTCTTCACTTGTGGTACTTGAAGGAGCCGACGAATAAAGGGGACTGCACAATCTGTAGGGGATGCTACATATGCTGGTGGGCTGTAACGGAGAAGAAGGGGAATACGAGATGAATGTGAAAATGAGATTGGCAAGGTAGTGTTTAAAATATTAGTGTATTTCTGGGTCGTGGTGGGTGGAGAAGAGTAAAGAGATGATGATGGATGAGAATGGTGAGTGGGATGACTGTTTGTGATTGGTATGACAGAGTGGGTATTGGAATTATTGTTTTTAAAGAATACACAAATATTTTAAAGCAAACCTGAAACCACCTAGTGTACACCATAAATCTTACGAAGAAAACCAGAAACAGCACTAAGTGACTCGTATCGAGTATCACAATTAATTCCCACCTAAGTTCCAAGTATAAACCTTAGTAGGGTGCAATACAGAGCAAGTATGTTTAAATATCGACTCGGGCCGGTTTGTGTACCCAGTACCCCTACTTCAATTGTTTGACACATTATCTGGTGAATCAGTTTTGGTTGAAAAGTTTGCTAATTAAAGTAAATTAATGCACAATGGTCGATACGTTACCGCTAGGAAAGTAAAGTAATGCATAATGGTTAGAATGGCCAATTGGATTGCTAAGCACAAACATGCACAATCAACATGAAAATACCTCAATCATTGAATTAAACAACACGCATAAACAATCATTCAATTCACACAACAACTACATGGCAAATAGTTAGGGTTTCACAACACCCAAGTGAAAAAGGAAACTGCTCCATGCTAGAAAGGGGAAGAACACAAGAGGAAGAGGTAGAAACCATCATGGTGATGCCTCCAATCTTCTTTGAGTTTGTGTTGATCTTTTCTTGGGGAGAATCTTCCCAATCCACCAGTTGGAGCAAACCCTAGCCTTCTTTCTTCCTTGGTTCGTTCTTTCTCTCTCTAAAATCTGAAGAAGAAGACACTTTCTCACTCTTGGGCTCCCCCTCTCTCTTCCTTTCAGCTCACATTATATACCAGGATCGGGCTCAGTTCAAGGACGTGAACACAGAGCGCTATGTCGACAAACACCGCTTCGCCATCAGGAGTTCACGGTTTGGCCTCAATCTTCATGGTCTTGTTGACCGTGAACTCGTCTCGCGGTAGTAACTGCGGATTTCTCCCCGGAAGCATCCCGGTTCAGGGTTTTGGGATTCAGTTCACGGCCATAGTGGACCGTGAACTCCAATGCTAACCCGTGAACTCCGCTTGGATCACCCTCTTTGCCCAGTCTTTGCCTGTTTTCGTCTAACTTTCGACTCCGGGGCTGGTTTCACCTGTTGGATCCTGAAACACACTAAAACGCACAAAACCTAGCTTAAAACCACCCTTTTAGGAGTACAAATGCTACAAACGCC